AAAGACTATTGCGCCACGTCTTGCGCCCCACTGCGCCGGGTGTATGATAGGGCCCTAAAGCTCTGTTCCAAAATCTTCTATACTTTGACAATACTACACTGTAAAAATAAAAATACAGGAAAAACTACCATATAAATGTGAAGTAACTTTCCGTATTTTCATTTTACAGCAATTTTACCCGTATTTTCGATTACATACTGCATTGTGGAAGCAAGAATCTCAGCGCGAACAGCGTAAAAAGCTGAGAAAACATACACATAGAGTTCTGCTTTTTGCTGTTCACAACATCACCACATTCCTACAAAACTAAAGGAATTTTCGATTTATGCTCTTCTCTTTAATAATAATTGATAATAGTCTTGTTCCATGAGTCTAGCTATACAGCTTTTTCATTTTGAAATGTTGTACTTATGGGGTAATTTTTATTAAAAATGTTTCAATTGACCTAACCATCATGGTAATCAGAGGCTGGTTTTGGGCTCATAAACCTGTACTCTTTAATCTTAATGTTTCTCTGATTGTTAAAGTTTTGTTTCTGAAACGCATCAGTTATAACAAGAAAGACAATGAGAAACTACACTGTAAACTTAATTTTGGCATATATAATTTCTAAAGTTGTATTAAATAGGCTAGAAAATAACTTTATTTGATGATATTTAGAATGTGCTACAGGGTCCCATGGAGATTCTACAAACAATTAACAAGATTATGAAGTAAAATACAATTACTATTACCCACAAAACGTCGAGCTCTCTCTATGACACACAGACATCAAGAATCAGGATATAAACTTCAACCATGGTTGAGGTTTAAAAGCTGCTTCGTTCATTCATGCTGCTGGGTGCCAGCATAGTACAAAAATCCTAGCATGCATTGCAGCATGAATATATTATGCAGCTTAAAGTTCTTACAATCTCTTTTTTTTCCTTTATTTTATGTTGTTCTTTGGGGGTAAAATTTCAGTAGAGTGTTTTTTTTTTTTTTCGATTTTTATTTGTCACCATTGTTGATGTCTGTTTTTTTATGAGTGCTGCTAAAGATCAATCTGTCTTCTTGTGAATGATCTATTCAACCTGTTAAACAGTTCCTGGCTGCTGTAAGTAAAGTGGTTTTATTTTCAAGCAGTATTAGTTACTCATTTATAACTAATAAGATATCCAATGAGTGCACAAGCAAGTGAATGTGAGTTAATATCATAGTTAATCCTATCAGACTTTACATTTTCTTTGATTTTTCTTGGTATACACATTGTCTGATTAACACAATTAACTATAGCAATCAAAATAAAAAAACAAACATCAGTGTAACTAGTTGAAGAACCCAACTAAAGCAGACTCGGTCCTCCATCATGGTGACTTCAAATGAACAACTAAAATGTCATTAAGAGCTTTTGTTCTTGTGACAGAAATAAAGTCAAAGGTCAGTAATAAGTGAAGTTCCTGATGTTTGTGGAGTTGTTTAATGATCTCTTTTCTTTTTTTTTTACGAATGTAAAATGTAAAAAAAAAAACTGCAGATTACTGGCAACCACAGCTGGCGGTATTTTTCTGTAAATTTAACAGATTTTTTTTAAAGAAGGAAATTCCGTAAAAAAACAACAACAAATGTACTGGTTTTCCTGTACATGTCTTCTTTTTAGGACTAAACATCATTATTGTCATTATTGTTATTACAGTACAGTATCATACATTTGCTACATATTTACAAATGCGCACACTTAAGAAATTATGTTACTGAACCTTAATATAAATTAAAACTGTAACATCATTGGCCTAAAAGCTGCAGTAGGTGCATTATACATTTAAACAAACAAAGTTGTTCCTTGGTAAATACAAAATAATTCTGTAAACATTTAGCAAAATCCTGTCAAATACAGTTCTACAAGTGAGACTATATAATTTAGTTCAGGATGTGTATCATAGAAATTTTGCTATTTAGTGGGACACAAAGCCATCCAGACAGATTGTTGAGTGAGTAAGATGCTGCAAACAACATAGTGTTTTTTTTCCTGCCCTAGCCCACAAGTACTTCGTTAGTGGGTTGTCCCGGACATAATAAAACAATCTTTTCAAATTTCAGGAGGATGACATGACAGTAGTTTTTGTTTAGTCTTTCATGTACAAATACAAGTTTTGGTAAAGAGAAATCAATGACAGAAAACCATAAATGGGTTTACCCATAGTCAGGGGCAAGACATAGTAGTCACCTGGTGTAAGACTACATTGAATGTTTCTAAATATTCACAGTTTACCACTTCCTGTCTGAAAGGATTTTCAACTTCCTTCTGCTAGAAATGTAGAAATGCTGTTATCATAACAGATGTTTTGTAAGAGTGTTGGGGCAGCCTGTTGTGGCAGATTTTAAAGGGGAGTGTGCATTGTAAAAGTAAACAAAACATGTCTCAAGAGATCTCAGTGAGAACTATGAGGCGCCGTGTAGGATTTAAATCAAACTTCGCTTATCAACACACTCATATAACACGTGCATATACACCTATACTATTGGAATGTTCAAAACAACATACATGGAACTTGCGCAGATACATATAAACTTCACGCATGCATACACCCACATACACACGCACATACATATAAACTCAATCCTTGCATAAACACCCACATTAACATGCACAAACATATAAACTCAATCCTTGCATAAACACCCACATTAACACACGCACATACATATAAACTTGCAGCATGCAAACACACGTGTACACACTCGCATATACATATAAACTTGATCAGTGCATATGCACTCACCATAAACTCTCACATATTAATGTAAACTCGATGTGTGCATAAACACCCAAATAACACTCATGCAAACATACAAAATAAAATTCACAATCATATATACAGCTAGTGTATATACATATATGCAAGTTATTTCATATGTGTATATGCATGAATTCTCAGTGCAAAAGGAAGTTATTTCACATTAAAAGGAAGTAGTTTTATTTCAATTTAAAAGTCCTTTGAGCATAAATGAACAAGATCATAATTTGTCATCAATCTATGTTATTGCAAAGCTTAGGAAACAGAAATAATGCAAGTAATCGAGGAATTACATCTGTTTAATAATGAAAATAGATTATGGTAATCACAAAAAATAAAAAGATAAAGCTAAGTAATGCTCCAGCAAAATGAAAGGTTTATTATGCAATTAAATTATTAATAAAGCTATGGGTTTAATAAATATAAGGTTGCATAAGTAATTATTTAGAATAAAATATGTTTGTTTAATATTAGTTTTTTTATGTTTGTTTTATTATTGGTGTCATCATTCGTCATGGGTTACGATACACACTTATGTCCAGTAGGGGGCAGAAATGTACTTTTTAAGTGTTTTTTTCTGTCAACAATAAACAGGCTAATTCACCAAAACACTGGATGCCCGCCGCCGTAAAAATATTAGTAGTTATTAAACACAAAAGGAGTGTCCAGAGGGTATATATAGCTGGTTCGTGGGGTTTAACTTGACCAACATGATGAACAAAGACTTTTAATCAGCGTTTTTTGTTTTTTTGTTTTTTTGTATATCCTGAATCATTAACCATCAAAATTATACCAAAATCTTGCAATTATGACATCCACAAAGTAAAAACATATAAAAAGCTTAATAATTAAAATAATTTTAAAAACAAAACAAGAAGCGTATAGGCTACACAAACATTTGCAATAGAAAAGAGGAGTTTAGTTGTTTAAGTATTCATAATTCTGGTTGCTTTTCAACTTGAACATCCTTTAAAGGTTCTATCTGTCCATTTACATTTGTGTATGTAGTATCCTAATTAAATAAAATTAAAATAATAATAAATAATAATAATTAATAATAAAAATATTTCTTATATATTTTATATAGTCTATTTAAATAGATTATTAATTAAATTTATTTTATATAACATATATTCATAATTTACCAGATTTACCTCTTTTAATCGAATTCTTTCTATTTCATAAGCTTTGTAATAACCTGATTCGTGAAAAATATGTTTGTGAATTTTATTTTGTATGTTTGCGCGAGTGTTATTTGGGTGTTTATACACACATTGAGTTTGCTTGCAGTAAGTTTGTGTATGTGCGTGTGTTGTTGTGGGTGTATTTGCAAGGATCGAGTTTATATGTATATGCGAGTGTGTTGGTGTGTTTGAACGCTGCAAGTTTATATGTATGTGTGTGTAAATGTGGGTGTTCATGCGGGAATCGAGTTTATATGTATATGCGAGTGTGTACAGGTTTGTTTGCATGCTGCGAGTTTATATGTTTGTGCATGTTAATGTGGGTGTATGCGTGCGTCTAGTTCATATGTATCTGCGCAAGTTTCATATATGTTGTTTTGAATATACAATAGTATAGGTGTATATGCGATTAATTTATAGGTGTATATAGACGTGTTTTATGAGTGTGTTGATAAGCGAAGTTTGATTTAAATCCTACACAGCGCCTCATAGAGAACTGCTGGCCCTCACTCCCCAGTCCCCAACCTCTATAGAAGGCTGGAAAATACAGTATCGATACAGTACACTAACAAATAATTAATATTTTATACTTATATTCTCTATTTAGGAATATTCAAATATCCCATTTTTAAAAGATGATTTACCTTAAACACAAAAGAAAATATTTTGAACATGTTTGCATTTAGTTTTTTTTTATCTATTCAACTGGCACGGTTAAAATATCTTATTTTTTTCTGCAGAACAAAATAGTCATAGTCTGGAGCAATATAATGCTGTGTAAATATACTCGGTTCTGTTTATTAGATCACTTTATTCCAATATAAAAATCTGGATGCATTTATCTAGTGAACAATAATCAGAAAAAAAAATCTGACTGGCTTGTCATCTTTTAGTTAAGACTTTCTGATACTAAATTCAAGATCCCCAGATACTAACTTGTCATGAAAATACTTTAATCAACATACTGCAGTTAACTGGCCAGGCAACAACCCTCAACAGCTTGGAGCAGTTATACTCAGCCAACTCATCATAAACTCACCTTCCAAGGACTTCACCAATATCATAGAAATCTTCCAGTTTTTGTTGCTTGAACACAGCCATTCTTAATGTCCTCATTGATAAAGATGATTGTCTCGGTAAACTGGGAGCAGCAGGTCTATATTAGAATCTCCGTCAAGAGGACACAGCTTTTGATTATAGGATGCAGCTATGAAAGTCAAAGACTCTTACATAAACATGTTTCAGCATGCAAAGATGCATTCCTACATTTCCAAGAAGGTGTACAGCAAGAACATGTAGGCTTTACATTCTTTAAAATGTGTATATTGCAATGTGAAAATGCCACAAAACCGTTGTATCGTAGCTTAAGAATAAAGCATAAAGTAAATTTGGCAAATGACAGACACTTTGTCACACTGACTACACCTAATGTTTTATTGCTATAAATGTAAATAAAATTAATAGGCTACATTAATAATATCACAAATATTTACCTTACAAGTAAACATACATACTTGTTGTTATATTCTTATGAGCACTCCATAACTATGTGTATTTTTCATTGTTGTTGAACTGTGTACTACATCGGTATCTAGTTAGCATCTCCTCACAACTTATTACATTACTTTCAAGTATATTTATTAATTGGACAAATAATTTTTATTGGATTTGCTATAATGTACATATGCAAACAATGAAATGTGCCTTTATGGCAACTAAGTAGTTTTTACATACATAAAAACCATTCAATTCCAATTTTCTGAATTAGGTAACGTGCACAGAAACCATCACAGGGAATCACAAAAAGATGACACATATAGCCATCCATGTAAAAACCTCCACTGTCAGGACCCAGCTTGGGAATTTGTTGCTAAGAATTTCTAGCTGTGAATTCAAATTAGCAACAAGAGAAAAGTTTATTGTCTTGAGCTTTTTTTAAAAGTAAATAATAATAATTGGAAAAAATCTTTGGATACTTGCTGTTGTCGACTTGCAAGTATATTGAGTTTGATGTGTGTGCTTTTTTGTTTGTTTTTTAACATGTTATATTAACATGTTTCTATCCATATCTAGAGTAATTGTGTGTGTGTGTGTGTGTGTGTGTGTGTGTGTGTGTGTGTGTGTGTGTGTGTGAGCGTGTGTGTGTGTCTTGATGAATTTCTGATGAATGTATTACTCTCACTTATATTATAATTTTTGAGTAATTTCAGTATTATTATTATTATTATTATTATCTATTGTAATATTACCCATACCTGTGACATTATTATCAGGTATGTGTGCTTGGGTAAATAAAAAAGTCACCTTGTGTAAATGCAGTCAGAGATGAGAAGAGAAATTAGAAGAGCAACATTAATGTCACAATGAGAGTAGATTTATGGAAGCAAGACCATAAGGACACCCGTGTTCTGTTCTGTAATTCATGATCATTCACATCCGCACACTCAGACATCAGACATGCGCCGCCGCTTAGTTGTAATGACTTTAAAAAAAATGAGTACCCATGAACTTCAGCTGAACTTAAAGTTGGCAGCTCAGTGGACAGTGAACAAAGAAAATTGTTGAACATTGTTTTTTGGTCATCACTTTTGAAACAGGAAGGACAAACCTTAATTAGACATGGATAAGACCCCTGAAAGACCCTGAGATTCAATGGTGGTGGACACCCGAGAGATTTAAAATCCTATTAGTGGAGAAGCTAAGGGAGGTGTGTAATGTGTAAATTTGGGTGGAGTATTAAGCCAAAGAAGTGCATTTAAACTATGTGTAAGCCTATACTCTTCAGACACTCGAACAACCTGTCTCTGTTGTTACTGATGCTTTAACAATAAACTGCTTTGCCTAAAGACTTCGGACATCTTAGACTTTGTCATATTTTTTTAAGACTTTGACTTAGAGACTTAGAATATTTTGCAGACCAGAATCTTATTTCCACAACATATTTGATACTCAATCATTGTGGGGCTGGATCAAGGACATTGAAAGTGGTTACGGTAGCCCTTGGTGGTGGCTCACTCAGAGACCAAGGAAGGCGCCTAATAACTGAGGTAAGCATATTTGCTTTAATATTTTTTGGTCTCTGTGAGAGTGGGCGCTGGGGGTGGACCGAGTACCTGAAATTGTTAGTTATATGTACCTCACCATAATAAATAACAAAAAAAACTTTAATGTTTAATGTTTTAAGAGAAAAAGAAGAAATCTCCCGGGTCTTTGACAAATTTGCATGCACTAACAAATAAATGTAGATGTGTGAATGTAAAATAGTGCGTTTGAGTAAAGGAATGCCACGTGATGAGGCGTGATGCCACGCAAAAGGGCGTGATGCCACTTTTGCGCGCTAGGTGACCCGGGGTAGGATCGCTTTTTGGAAAGTGCATTAGGCGCCAGTGGAAGAGCTGTGCGTCATGCTCAACTGAGATCTAAAATTAGACTCGCAGAAGAGCTCTATTGTGATGCTCAGTCGAGATCTAAAAAAGTAGATTCTTACAGGTAGAGTTATTGTCATGACTGTCAGTGACCACCTGAGGGCGCTGTAGTTCAATGGACATTGAGTGAAACTACAGCGCCCAAAAAGACTACATTTCCATACATTCTTTCGTGCACACACCCGGTCTGTCATCTACACTGATTTCAACCACAGCTGTCTCCAATCTCCGTTGATTACCTGGACTACATATTCAACCATTCCACATCTGTTTGTTACTGCGTCGTTTGTCTATCTTGTCAGCTCTGGTATGTTGTTCTTGATCTCGCTCTTGTATCTTGCTTAAGTCTAGTTCGTGTTTAATCTTGTTTTAGTTTCTTGTTTTGTTGTTTGTATGTTATTTTGTTACTTTGCACTTTGAATTTTGTTCACTGTTACCGCACTATTTAATATCAAATCTGCATTTGGATCCACACGCTTTTTGTTCCTGTTTTTGTTCTGTTTTTATCACGCTTAACATGACAGAACATCGCAGTCTTACAATGGATCCAGCGGATGATTTATTAGTGCATATTAAGCAGGGTAACCGCTCCGTTGAGCGTTTCATTAAGGAGTTTTTGGAGCTAGCCCTAAGGAGCACTTACTGTGACTTGCTGTTAATGATGTTTTTCCGGGGAGGACTTTTAGAACCAGTCCGCTCCCGAAAGACGCAAAAGACCAATTTTTTCTGAGCCTCTGGAGAGACTCATTGAACTTTGTGAGACTCCAGTGTCTGCTCCAGCCCCACAGCACCTGCCAGTGTCGGCTCCAGCTCCAGAACAGGCTCCTTCTTCTGCCGACAGCACTCTTCATCAGACCACCAGACGGAGGAGGCATGGGAAGAGGACTACTCATGCCCCAGAGCACCCGCCAGTGTCGGCTCCAGCCCCAGAGCGCCCGCCAGTGTCGGCTCCAGCCCCAGAGCGCCCGCCAGTGTCGGCTCCAGCCCCAGAGAGCCTGCCAGTGTCGGCTCCAGCCCCAGAGTGCCTCTCAGTGCTGCTCCCAGCCCGGCTCCTTGCCCTGCCGGCCCCACCCAGACGTCTTGCCCTCTTTTGGGTCCGCCCAGGGGGGGGACTTAACCGTGGCGGAATAAGCATATGGGATCGCCTAGTGGGTATCACGCATAGCAGGCACCTATACCCAAAACGCGGGCTGACCAGCGGGCAGACCTACAACTTAGTGGGCCAGCAAGTGACTCCTCCACTGAGTCAGTGCTGGGGGCCACGGAGGAATCTGCAGGGCTCACCTGACTGGGAACTTTACTGACAGATAAAAGGGCGCACGTATCTCCGTGTTAGGGAAAATGGCGCAGCAAGCGTGTCTCAACACCCTAACGAGTTTTTTCCTCAATCACCAAAGGGTTACCTAATACCCTTGAGGAAACCGGCTCCACTCGCAGATTGTAAAACCTTGCAAATGTGTTGGGTGTCGCCCAGCCCGCAGCTCTACAGATGTCTGTTAGAGAGGCGCCGCGTGCACGCGCCCAAGAGGATGCAACGCTCCAAATGGAGTGTGCACGCACTCCCGGGGGACGCGGCTGACCTCGACTCGAATAAGCGAGTGAAATGGCATCCACAATCCAGTGGGATAATCTTTATTTCGATACGGCACTTCCCTGCTGCCGACCGCCATGAGCTGCTCAGATGATCTAAAATTCTGAGTACGGTCCACATAAATGTGCAGAGTGCGACCTGGACAAAGTAAAGAAAGAGCTGGGTCTGCCTCCTCCGGAGGCAGCGCTTGCAGGTTCACTACCTGATCTCTAAAGGGGGTGGTAGGAACCTTGGGCACATAACCCGGGCGGGGTCTCAGTATGACGTGAGAGTAATCCGGCCCGAATTCCAGGCACGAGTCACTGACCGAAAATGCCTCCAGGTCCCTGACCCTCTTGATGGAGGCCAACGCACCAAGCAGAGCTGTCTTCAGGGACAGAAATCTTAGAGATACTGATTCGAGAGGCTCAAAGGGATCGGCTCGCAAACTCGTGAGAAAGAGGGCAAGATCCCAAGAGGGCATGAGAGGGGGGCGAGATGGATTAATTCGCCTAGCACCCCTAAGGAACCGGATGATGAGGTTATGCTTTCCCACGGTGCCGCCAGCTACCGCGTTATGATAAGCGGAGATGGCGGCCACGTAAACCTTGAGAGTGGAGGGCGACAGCCTGCTGTCCAACTTCTCTTGAAGGAAAGAGAGCACAACACTAATCTGGCAGTTTCGGGGGTCTTCTCTGCGAGAGACGCACCATTCAGTGAATAGACTGCACTTCAGGGCATAGGCGCGCCTCGTGGAGGGGGCTCTAGCCTGAGTGATGGAATTAACCACCGCAGTCGGTAGGTTACCTAAGTCTTCCTCGGGTCTAAGGACCACCCGTGGAGGTTCCAAAGATCGGGGCGAGGGTGCCAGATGGTGCCCTGTCCCTGAGAGAGTAGGTCCTCTCTCAAAGGGATCAGCCAGGGGAGGGCCGTCGCGAGGAGTGAGAGCTCTGATATCCAGGTCCGGTTGGGCCAAAGGGGCGCAACTAGCAGAACCTGTTCCTTGTCCTCCCTGACCTTGCACAGTAGCTGCGCGAGCAAGCTCACTGGGGGAAACGCATACTTGCGCATGCCCCAAGGTCAGCTGTGGGCCAGTGCATCCGTGCCGAGAGAGCCCTCGGTCAGAGAAAAAAACAACTGGCAATGAGCGGTCTCGGGGGAAGCAAACAGATCGATCTGGGCCTCCCCGAATCGCGCCCATATCAGCTGAACAGACTC